CACATTGGGCTCCAGGAATTCACCCACCTTCCCTGTGTGCTTCCTGACAGTGGGCGATAGAATAAATGAATTGAAACAGTGAAAAAAAAAAAAAAAAAAAAAAAGATCATGGCAGAAATTAATAAAATTGAGACTCAAATAGAAACACAAAGAATAATAAATCAAAGAACTGGTTCTTTGAAATAGGAAACATGATAGACAAACCCTCAGCCAACATTATCAAAATAAGGAAAGAAAAGATCCAAATCCAAGCACTCAAATGGAAAAGGTGAAATCACAATGTATTCTGCTGAAATTCAGAAAATTATTGCTAACTACTTTGAGGACCAATACTCTCATAAAATAGAAAACTCAGAGAAAGTATAAATTCCTAGATATGTGTTAATTACCAAAGCTGAACCAAGAAGATATAAAAATCCTGAATAATGCAGTATCATAAATTAAGATTGGTGAAGTAACAAAAAACTACCAAAATTAAGAAAGCCTAGGTCCTCGTGGATTCACTGCCAAATTATATAAGATTTTTTTTTTAATGTATTTGGTACAGGGTCTCACTAATCAGCTCAAACTCATGGTGATCCTCCTGCCTTCAGCTTCCCCAGCACTGGGATTACAGGCATGTGCCACCACACCCAGACTCAGTGTTGGGCTCAGCACACCCAGGGTTGGGTCCAGCAAGGCATGTGGTTCTGGTGGTCAAATTCTGGTCTCTGCACTTGCCTAAGCATGAGCTTAGTCTTCTGAGCTATCTCACCAGCCACTCTATAAGAATTTTAGATAAGATTTAACACCATATTCCTCGAACTCCTTAACGAAATCTAAAGAGAAACAGTACTTCCAAAAACATTCCTGGAATCAAATATTACCATCATTCCAAAACCAGAAAATGAATCCAACCAAAAAAGAGCACTCTAGACAAAACTCTTTAATAAGCATAGATACAAAAATCCTCAATAAAATATTGGCAAATGAATGCACTAAGTCACAAAGTTATACAGCACAACCAAGGAGGATTCATTCTAGACTGAATGGTTCAATATATTCCAATCAATAAAATAGTACAACACTTAAACAGAAGCAAGTGCAAAAACCACACAATCATTTCAGTAGATGTAGAAAAGGCATTGACAAAATCCAACATATGTTCATGATAAAAAATTGAGTAAAATATATTTATCAAAATCTGGTAAAAGAACTCTATCACAAACCAATGGTCAATATTATACTAAATGGGAGAAGGGTGTGTTAAGGTCTCCTGTTAAGATTGTGGTATTGGATATTAGACTTTTCATGTCCATTAAGATTTGTCTTATATAATTGGGTGCTCTCGTGTTTGGTGTGTATACATTTATGAGTGTTACCTCTTCCTCTTAAATTTTTTCCCTAACCAGTATGTAGTGGCCTTCTTTATTTTGTTTGATCATTCTTGAAGTTTAGACTGTCTGAGAATAGGATTGCTACCCCTGCTTTTTTCTGAGGTGCTGGGCATGTAGTATTATGTTCCATCCTTTGACTTTCAGCCTAGGAATGTCTTTTTGAGTTAAGTGTGTTTCTTGTATACAACATATTGTTGGATAGTGTTTCCTAATCCACTGTGCTAGTCTATTTCTTTTAATTGGTGAATTGAGTCTGTTTACATTGATGGTTATAATTGAGATGTATTGATTTATGATTAACATGTTATTTACCTGCTGTTGTTTACTCCTTTTTATCCTGTGTTTAATTGCTTGCCCTATTCAGTGGGTTCCTTCTGTTCTCATTCGTGGAGTTCTGATCATTTTGCTCCCTCTCTAGAACATCTTTTAGTAGTCTGTGTAGGGTTGGCTTTGTCATCATGAAATTCTTTAGTTGTTCTTTGTCATGGAAGCCTTTTCAAAAAAGATTTCCCTCCAAAATCAGAAATAAGATGAGGATCTGCACTGACACCAAATAGTTATTGAAACAATAGCTAGAGCAATGAAACAAGAGAAAGACAGAAAAGTGATATGCATAAGGAAGAAAAAGGCTAATTATTATTTGATGATTAGAAGATCCTTTACTTAGAAGACCCCAAAAGCTCCACCAAAAGACCCCTAGACCTAATATCCAAATTTTGTGTGTCTCCTTTTGTTGAGTTCCTCAATATTCTCAATATTAGCCCTCTCCAAAAGAGTTGATAAAACAGTATTTCTCATTCTGTGGGTTGTCTTTTCACTTTGTTGGTTGTTTCTTTCGTTTGCAGAAGGTTTTTAATTTGATGTGATCCCATCTGTTGAGTCTTGGTACTACTTCCTGTGTGACAGAATTCTATTCACAAAGTCCTTGCCTACACCTATGACTTCAAGAGTTTTACCTATTACACCTTCCAGTGGATCATTTGAACAATTAGATCTTTAATACATTTTGACTTAATACATAATGAGAAATTGGATCTAGACTCAGTCTTCTCATTTCCCAGCAGCGTTTACTAAAGAGGCTATTACTTCCTCCAGTGTACATTATTGACCACCTGTGAAAGATCAACATGTTGTATGTGCTTGGGAATGTTTTGCTTTTCTTATTCTGTTCCATTGATCCTCATGTCTGCTTTTGTGCCTGTACCATGTTATCACATATTCTTAACAACTGTATCATTATAACATAATTTCAAGTCCATAATTACAATGTCTCATCTTTGCTCTTGTTATTCAGAATGTTTTTGCTGTTCTGGATCTCTTCTAGTCCCATACAAAATTTAGGATTATTGTAACAAGTTCTGTGGGTAATGCTATCAGTATTTCAACTGAGGTCATATTAAATCTATATGTCAGTTTTGGAAGTACAGCCACTTAACAATAGTGGTTCTACCCTTCTCCACTGGTGCTATAGACTGGTGCAACCATTGTGGAAAAAAGTGTGAAGACTCCTTAAAAACTAGAACTGGGGGGCCAGGGAGATAGCTCAGTAGAATAAGCACTTCCCTGGCAAGCAAAAGGGCCTGAGTTCAATCCCTGATTCCACCATAAAAAAAAAAAAAACTAAGACTGGAAATCCCATTCAAACCTCTGTCTCCCTACTGGGAATTTTCCCAGAAGAACCGAAAGCATAGTATCATAGTGATATATGTGCACCTATGTTCATAACAGCACAATTTGCGATAGCCAAATTTTGGAAGCAACCAAAATGCCCATCATCTGAGGAATGGATGAAAAAGATGTAGTATTTTTATACAATGGAGTATTACTCAACTATAAAGAATGATAAATTCGATGCCTTCATATATAAGTGATGCCACTTGAAGATATGCTCGTAAGTGAAATAAACCAGATTCACATGTGTAAATATCGTATAGTCTCCCTACTGTAAGAACTCAAAAGAAGAAATAAAAATTGAAAGATATAACACAATTAAATGGAAAGCAAGAACTTTAGGATTAAACAATGAAGACAGGGCAAGGAGAAAAGCTAGGAAACATGGCAGGAGCAAAACCATACAATTATGTACACCAGATGGTTGAGAAAATGATCCTGAGAATCTCCATCAGGTTTTTGAAACTAGCAGTTAATTGGTAGGATTCTTACCCTGACTAATTATATATGCCCATACCTGTGAACTAAGGAACTGCACTGAAGATAGCAATGCGTAATTCTAGGGCCATGCTCGGAATCCCTGCCATTCTGTTCTTCGAAAAGCATATTGCTTCTAATGTCATATCAATTACTGCTATACTCTCTCTCAAGTAAAAGTTTGTTTAGAAAAAAAAAAGGTAATAAATGAAAACAAGAGACAAGAAAAAAATGTCTTAGGACTGTCCTTCTACATTGTTGTACAAGGTTAGATTTCTAAATTTCTGTGTAAAACTTTGTAAGCATTTATTTATACTTTTTACTATTTTTTAAATTTTTTTCACATTCTGTATGGATTTAAAATTTAGCTTGTTAATGATTGATGGAAAGTACCTGTTCCATGTTATGTCTAAGGCATTTGATATTCAGACATTTACTGATGTTAAGCTCAACAGCCTATGTTTTAGGGTGATAATATCATTAAGTTTCTCTTCTGGAGGATGAACAACTTAAATTTTCATACCAAAAAATTAGAGAAAAAGAAGGGCTACAAGGAGAGCCAACATTTTGTCCCTAGCCCTTCAAGGTCAGTGAGGACTCAGGACATAAGAGTACCTGTACTGAAACATCCTGTAGCTCAGTGGTGTCCCAAATTTTCTGATCAAGGAGATTATGGGGCCACAGAGGAAAGTGATCGACAATGTAGAGTATGCCTAAGGAAAGTCACATGGAGAGAAAACATTCTCTCAGGCTTTCACAGAGAGCAAATTGGTCAAGCAATGGCTGTGACTCATCCACATGGCAGACACTGAAAAAAGATCTACAAACTGCAGTACAGGGTTACAGGATAAATCCTGAGGGT